AGCCGCATGTGTAGGATTGTAACGCCTAGTCGTGTGAATATTAATTCTAATATTATACTTATATAATAATTATGTATATTATATCATTAATATTATTATACATAAAATAAAAGAAAATTTTATAAACATGCTTACATATAGCGCTTTATATTTGCATCACGTATTAAACAAAAATATTTACAATAATGTACATACTTATAAACTACTTATTTCTTACACTACTTTTATAATGTTTACATATCTGGTTGATACAAGTTCACAATAGGATTGGCATGGTTTGTTGGAGGTAGGAAAAAGGTGATCACTATTGGTCCATCAATAATAGTAGCAATTTCTTGAGTAGGAGAAAACATAAAAGTTGATAGTGCTAATCCTTGAAAAGTGACCGAGTTGGCAACGGCATCTACAGACCAAGTGGTTCCTGGAAATACTGCGGAAATGATGAAAGTGAAAGGTCCGGGAAGTGTTGGTAGGTCCATCTATTTTTATTTATTTATTTTTATAATTATATTACACGAGAAATATAAGGAGTGAGAAAAATTATCCAATAAATATCAATAATTACATAATAAGCATAGGAATATTTAATACTAATATATATATATATTAATTCTTCTTGATATAAAAATTTGAGTTATACTTGTACTGACTAGTCAGGATAAATGAGCATTATCATAATGTCAACCATAAAAGGATACCTTAAATTCTTACTCATTTAAATCCCCAAGGTCAAACCTCTAATTACAAATTAATTCAAACTTTCATTTTTATGGGCATAAGATAATTTTAATAAAACTATATTAGAGTTAATCGTAAAAATAATTATGCTAAATCAATTTGAGTATTTATCATTAAAATAATATTTACGTAAATGGAATATATTAAGAGTATCCATCAAGTAAATGACAATAATAATCATTATAAAGTAATTAAATAACATAAAATATGAACACCTTATTAATTATTATAGGTAAAAATTAATCATAGTTTAAGTAAATAAATGACGTTAGGGACACCTCACTAAATAAATATACATAAAATATAGCATAGATAAATAAACATAATAACATATAAAATTTTAAAGAGATAAAATTCTCCTCTCCCTTACCTTAAAATAAGGGTAATTTATATTACACGTAGATTTCTACTGCCATTAATTATTACTATAAGTAATTATCTACATTTCAAATTATGTTATTCCTACCATACACGTAATCACTATATACTGCTCTTGCAACATTATTATGTGAGTATTATCTTTTACATTTCGCATTATCTTTTTATTACATAATCAATTGCTATTACATATTATTACATTTAATTATGCAGGTTTTTTTTATAAATTTATTATATATATATAT